CGCTTAACCTTCAGTAGACTACGGCGTACAAGCCCTTCATTGGTACCCCAAGCCCTAGAAAGCAAGCCGACCACTAAAAATGCTTTAAAGCCATTGAAAGCAGGCCGATTGCTTCTATTATATTATAATCAAATGTAAAAATTAAACTTAAGCTCATTTAAAAGTCCATCCACGCCATAGGAGTCGTTGAATTTCGTTTCATTGAAATGATTATTTTGCTGATTTCTCTCTAAGATTTTGAATTTTATGGTTGCTTGTTTTCCGAAAATTGTAGGCAAGAGTTTTTGTGTGTAAATTTAAAATGATGACATTGGATGGTAAAATTCTTAAAGTGTGATTTAACGTCATGTTTATACTGGTCTCAGTTTCTAGCTGTAGAGCTGTCAAGTAAAAACGTAGCAAACGCACATGTTTAAAATCAAAATTAATTTGATTTGCTTCGTTGAAATTTGCAATTTTTTATATGGTTTGTGTAGAAATATAATACATCAATAATGCAACCATTTGCTAAATTCTTTCGTTGAGTTTTTTTTAAAAAAACAGGCTTTGATATTTGTAGCCTCACATATAATTATGGGAATGTCATGTGTCCAAATCTGCTGTGGCATAATTTGAAACTTGTTTAATGGTTTCACTTAAACTAAATCCGTCAACTTTCAAAAATTGTTATGCAAACACTGAAAGCATGCACCAAAAACGACGGGGAAATGCGCTTGTATCAGAATTAATCCTACTTAAACACCTCGACCAATAGCTTCTGAAGTGTTAGTTCAAAATCAAATTTCATAACTTAAAGGGCAGACTAAAGTGACCAAATTATATATTGAAACTAATTATGGACACCAATAAAATCGAATTCTTTTTAATTTCGTCAATAGCAAATTGAATTCATGGTTTTAAAAATTTTCTTCACTTCGTTTCTGGCCGTATTTTAGCAGATGAACTGTTGTTGCAAATATAAAAGCAAAAGTATCAATTAAAATTAAATAAAGTAGATCATGGAATGACTGGCACAAATGAAAAGGAGGCTGTTACGTCATATTTTACATTTTTTTGCCAGATTGCATTCTTCTCCTTCTTCGGTTCCACTGAAAAATTTAGTAAAGGTAAATGAAAAATTCGTGGAAATTTTTTTAATGCAATTAACAAGGCTTTGTTGTTCAAATTTGCATTTTTTTGATTAATGGCCTCAAAAAAAGTTCGTCTTGTTTATATCTTTAAAATAAGATTATCGCGCTGATAAATTTCTCCGCGGCTTGTTGGATTCTTTACAATTTTTGTACATAAGGTGCGCGGTTAATAAATGGGTAAGGAATTTTGAATGTAAAATAGAGTTTCTGTTTCTCATACCTTACGTTGCAGCATTTGTTTGCTCTACCGGTGATTTTTGGATTATGCAGTGAATGAACTTTTGTTCTTAGTTTTTTTTAAAAATTTTGTATGCTTTAATTTTCCTAAATCATATTGAAGTTACATTTTTTGCAAAATGAATTGCGGTAAATATGCTATTAGATCTAAATCCTGATTTGTGCATGTTTTTTTTTCGTATTACATGTTTGTTTAGCACATGTGCACCAGATGTTAATTTTGATTGTTACTTTGCCATTGATATACACTTTGGTTCCTGATTTTATAAGCTTTTTCTGCGTATTCTTAAAAACCGGGTTTGCAAAACAAATGCGACAAAAAGCCGTTCGACGGGGCAAGTTTTTCTGCAACCTATTAATGTATAATGCTAATTGTTGATTTTGTTGGAATTTTTTCCGTTTTTTTACCTAATTGTACCACTTACAGTTTTAGTAAGTAACTTACTTTAAGGCTGTCATGTTGTAGTTTTTTGGCACTAGGAATGGTTTTCTGAATTATCGAAAACTCTTCAATCTCTTAACTAAATCAAATGAAAATCAATCACTGAGCTTTTTTCGTTTTTAGCTTAAAATAATGCTCATGACTACTAATTTAATGAAAAATATTATTGGGAATCAATGAAAACCACTTTGCCGCAAAAATTTACTTTCGCAGTTCATAATTCCACACGTTTGTTGTGATTTTTTAATACAATACATAAAATGCTTGCCAATTATTTATGCCGTTGCCAAAAGTTTCGACTCTTCGCTATCTTTGCCCGAAATTGTTACAGTCCTCAGCTGCCCTTATCTAAAACTTCTTTTACAATTACCTTGTTTCTCTCCGCTACGTACTGTACTTTTCTCAAATTTGTTTTAAGCCTATAAGTCTAAAGTGCATAGCTTAAAGCAAATGGATTAAAGTATTTATCGTTAAAGTTCTTTATTTGCCGACTTCAACCATGCTCAACCTGCGCTAATTCTTCAGGTCGAAACAGGTCATCATCTTTCATGTGATATCGGTTCAAACGTGATCTGCCACAACCACGTTAGGCTCAGCGGCTTTAAAATAGAAACGTGAATTTCTAGTAACAAATAAATCTTATATCTGCTCTTTATGTCACGTTTTATGCTGCCGGTTCCGCAGTAAAAGTAAATGCGGTGTAGCAATAGTGCAAGTGTAACTCTAATTTCTATGTTTATAAAATAAATTGATTAGTTTAACTATTTTCTTTTTCAATAAGTCACCGCTTTAATGAATGTAGCCATAAATGTTTGCCCTTTTAAATTGATTTATTTAATTAAATGTTGCATGTTACATAATTTGGGGTGGATGTTGGTTGTGTGGATTATTTACTTTCAATTAGTGTATCAAAATCTACAAATACTCCCGCACCACTAAACTTCCCTTTTCAAGTAGGAAAGATATCGTGTGCCATCTGCAACAAGAGATGCAGAGGAACTGTACTGAAAATTGACACTTTCTATCTCCACAAGACGTGCTTCAAATGCCAAAGTAAGACACAATTTGACACCCCTTTGACAGCATGCTTTTACTCAGAATGCGGCAAGGCTCTAGATGAGAAAAACTTCCAGCTGCGTGATAAGTGTTTCTACTGCCCCGAGGACTACAAACAGGAGTTTTCGGTCAAATGCGCAGGCTGTGGAAATCCGGTTGAAGGCGAGGTTGTGACGGCTCTTGGAAGCACATTCCACACCTTCTGTCTTCGCTGCTTCTCCTGCAAGTACGTTTTTAATGACTCGAAAACACTGCAAAATTTGTTGCGTGATTAACAACTGAATGCTCTAAGGAGCATTTATCTTAATGGTGAACTTCGACGTCGTTCTTGGTGTGAAAGTGACCATCGTAAACCCACGCATCATAGTGATTTGTTTGATTGATTCTAGTCGGACGATTGTGCCGGGGGAGAAGGCGGTTGCCTTGAGTGACCGCTTCTACTGCGAAAGGTGTTCGCCGCCTCAGGTGGCTGAAGAGGCAGACGAGGAGGGCGACTGGGATCTGGCCTGCTCCGTCGCGGACCCCCAATCCACCCCGTCACCACCTCCACCTCCAGCCAATGGAATGAAAAAGAAGAAGAGGAAAAAAAAGAAGAAGCCTGACCAGCCGAGGGTACCCAAGAGCGCCTCTCTGCCCAGGCGGTTGGGTGACTTCTTCCGTACCAGAAAGTCGCCAAGCCGTGACCCTCAGGCATCGCCATCTCCCCACCACGCCACTTTAACTAATGGCACAGCTGCACTGTCAGTCAATGTTGGTGAACACGACGCAACAGGTAAACTCCTCTTCCACGTCGTCTAACACCGCTTGATGCGTTTCAGTCGCGTAATGTCATGTTTTCATTGAACTGACGACTTAATGCCAGCAATTAAGCAGTCGCGGAAGTGTGCTTTGTGGTAATTGTATTGGCGCCTGTTGTTGTACATATTTTTGGTAAACCCAACGACTAATGGCGTGTTTATCTAGTAAATAATGCCAAAAAACGAACAAACATGCTGATTGGCACTTAAGTATCTTTCGCGGAAGCAATTCCACCAATGTCCCGCGTGTTCTAATCTCGTGCTTTCCTGAATCATTCCAACCTTTCTACTGCGTAAATCAGATGCCAAGTACGTGGAAATTACTTTCACGGGACTTGTATCGTCAAACGACAGTGAAGAAGTTTTCCAATATGACCCGTGAGAAGTTCTTAAACAGTTAGGGAATCTGATCGTGTCTCATTCACATCACGTGATTTGGACGCAACTGTTTCCCACTTATGGAATTGCCTTTCAACAGCACTGGATGAATTGACATGTCAGGTCTGCCGGTACGCCCAAATCCAGACAAACCGCGGCGGAAAAAACGGGCGGCGCAGTTACCAACAGCTGTTTTCAATTTTTCTCCGAAGGCATTTTTAGCAGTTTTTCGCACTTTCGTGACAAACCAGCATGCCTTCCTCCTCAGTCACACAAACCAAGAATCACTGCAGAAAAATCGTGAAAAAAGGGAATAAATTTGCCCAAACGAGCGCCAAAAAGCAAACGCGCCGACGCCAATCGATCGATTTTCGCTTATCGATTTTTTCCCAATTGTCTCGCGCGCGCGCGCACACACACAAAACTCGCGTCTTGTTTTGCAGTATTTAAAAGAAGCGGGCGGTTTTGTTTGTATTGGGAAATAAATAAAATTTGTGTTTTAATCGGAGCCGATAAACCAAAGGTTAAGAGTGTGCGTTTCGGCTACACACACGCGCACAATTAGGCTTCAACTTTATACCCCCAACTGCTTAAGCGCACATTCAGAATTCTGTCAAAAATATATTTTTTTAAATATTTTTTAGGTGCAGATTCAGAAATTGGCAAAAAGTTCTATGTGAGTTGCAAGTTCGTTTATTCCGAATAAGACATTTTTATTTGCGATTGTAGTTTTTGACAGCCAATTACAAATGCCGAAACGTAGCAGAGTACAACCCACGCAAACACAACCCCACCTGTTAAGAGGGGGTGAGTTTGAATCCGGTGAATAGCCAATAAACGCCCTATGTTTCAGTCCCAGAATGCTCCCATTTAATGATCCCGGTTACGGTTTGCCAGAGTTGCAGTGAATACTCTTACAGCAAGCCACAGCACTTGAAACGTGTTTCTTTTTCCACACTTTTAGCAAAGTCAAAGTCCATCCTACAGTCTGTATTCTGGCGACAACATGATCCTGTCGAAGTCGCGAGAGATACAATCAACTGTAAGACACTCGTTTGGTGAACTTTAAATCCACAAACGTATTTTTTGGCTACGACAAAAACCATAAAATGACTATTTTTCGGCAAAAAATCAGCGTGTGCAAACGGAAAATGGAGAATTTTTTAGCATTTATTTAATGAATGGTGCACTGTGGCATAGTTTTAGCCCACTCCCAGATATTCACACGGCATGAAACCGCATCTGCAACAGCGCATTCTTGGTTGGAATTTTCTGCACTAGTAGTTTTTTCCGCCAATAAATTTGAACCATAATCCTTAAGAAAAACGGTATTAAAACGCAGTTGTGGGTGTAACCTTGACCTGCTTTTCCAGTGCATTTAAACAACACCCACACTTGGCAGGAATCCCAGTTAGAACTACCTGTAAAGGTGTATACTCTTTTAACTTTCCGGAATATGTAAAACCAGGTTGACGAACGCAATTGTAAGGCATGTCGGCAAAGCGCTTTCATCTAACCGCTTCTAATGCTGGCCCCCCTTTACCTGCACTTTACTTTTTTTTGTTTTAAACTAAACCATGTTTACTATTTGCGTTGCCTTGGTGACGCAGTGCAAAGTTTTTGTATCATCCAGCTGTCCTTCAAGTGAACTTTAAATATACCCGAGTGCAGAGTGCACATTAAGAGAATAACCACTGTAAAAACAAAAATCGCGGTATGCTGATCACCGGCTGGGTGACTGTCCTGCCTTGTAGCCAGCTGAGAGTTGTCCGTTGATGACGCACAGCGCAATGGGTACTGGGGAGGTGGCCTATTCCATAGATCCAGCACTCACCACTCCCTCGATGGTCAACGCGCTCTCCGGCGACACCTCGACCCTCCTCTACGGGTCGGTTAGACGAATCTGTCCACCGGGCGTGGACTACGGACGCCAGTACCCCGTCTCGTATCTCCGATTGGCCGAACAGGGCTACACAGCGGTCATCAGCACAGACGACCTCAACTCCGAGAGTCTGTCGCCGTCGCCTTGTCTGTCACGCCTGCCACCCTGCTACAGCGGACCCTGCACTCAGCGAATGTCGCGACGCGACTTGGGCCGCCAAACTCGAACCCTGCCGATCGCTGTCGACTCGCCCGCCTTCAGTGACAAGGGACAAGCCGAGCGACCGGAGAAAGATCGGTACACACGGTACCGACAGATGTCCCCCACACCCGCCGTCTCCGCTGGACGGGCTACCAGCTCCGGACGCTGTGCCACCACGCCAGGCTCCAACTTCACCGTGCGAAAATCTCGTGAGTTTCAATGCTGAAGCCTTGTGCCTTGGTAGCCCTCGTTCTTGCTGATAATTTGCTCCATCTCTTTCAGAAACCTACTCGTTTTGTTCCACGCCAAACGTAAATAGCCGAAGAGGTAATGTCAATTTTTGATGTCCAGCTATTGAATAGACAAGGCAGAGTTTTGGGTGTATGCGTGTGTGTGTGTGTGCGCGCGTGGTTGCGGGGTGAGTAAACGTCCCTTTCTTTGACTTTTTTGCACAACTAGGAATTCGCGTTTTGGGTGAGCGAAAGTGTTTCTCTGTTTGGCTATCCCTCTGTGTGTGTGTTCCACTAAACGTCGCCTCGTTTTCGGTGTTAAAATCGACCAAAATCGCGCACTCATTTCGTTGTCTGCACGATTTTTTTATGCGTTGTGGTTTGACCCGGTGCTTTGTTGCAAACACCCAAGCGATTTGTGAAAATTCGTCTTAGATTTCCGACAATGCGGGGTCAGATTTTCACTTATTTGCGAACTATTCTCATCTGTACGACGTCACTTACGTGTAAAAGAAGACAATTTTTCACAAGAAACCCGCCCTAATGCATGTTGCTTGCTTGCTTGATGCATGCTTCATCTCAATTCCTTCTCCATGAGTACCAAAATATTTGGCAAAAAACCGACAAGCGAGTCAACTGAATGGATTACCTCCAATTCGGCTAGATTTCTGCTTAAACATTTGCCAAAACTGCGCCATTTTGACCACTTCCTGGCACGAGGCTTCTCGGCTTGAATTCCACATCTCAGGGGGCAGCAAACGTTTGTTGTTGTTAAACTAAGGGGAAAGGAGTCATGCATTATTAATTAATCCCGATAACCGGACCCTTTTACCGCCCAGTTAATGCATTTAACAGCCAAAACAAGAAATAATCATTGTGTATGAGCGGGCGATTTACTAATAATATCGTGTCAGTTTCAGCCAATCACCGTTTAGCTGGCTCGTCCAATGAGAAAACGAGGCACTCGAGCGCTCGCTTCAAATTGCACGCCTCTAATGCAATGTAATTTTTTGCAAAACTATGGAAAAATTTGTTAATTAGCCAATATATAATGGGTTTATTTAGTAAATAGACAAGCAAAACTAAGCGACCTGTAGCAGTCGAGTTTAATTCGGTAAGCCGATTACAATTCGACACGGTAACGCACCCATCCGTTCGACATTGGCCAACGTTGCTTTCAAGGATAAGTACAAAGACGCGCATGTCCTATTTCTGTGTCTCTAGCCGAGATGATGATGAAGTCGCCAAGGGCGGGCAGATCTGTGAGTCCGGAGGCGGCGTTGATGGCGCAGGCAGAGGCCAGACGTCTCGCCGCCTACCCAGGAGCCAAGGTGCCCGACGCAAACAGCGAGCCAGCCATCGATCGATACGACTGGCCGGCGCCACCCTCACCCGCCGTCGTCTTGATCGACCGAAGTAAGTACAACTGCCACTGATGCATGCCTTAGTTGCGGCATCGTGTTTGAAGTACTGCGTGTGATTTGTTTATGGATAAGTGGTTCCGGAGGTGTACGACACATCTGCACTGATTTGGCACCGGTGTGAACTTTCTTAACTAGGACCGATTCCTGTTTCATCACGCGTGGTTCGAGTGCTTGCTGTTGACGTGTAGACAAAACTTGGAACTTTTTTACAGCGTCTTTACTTAATTTTCACGGGTTTTGGCACGAATGTGGAATGACCTCGGTTGACCGGAAGTGGTTTCAGCCACATTTAAACAAACTCTACCGCCACTGACACACTTCTCAAACCACCACCCCAGGTTAATTAAACCGAGGCAAGACGCATGACACAGAGCCTGTTTGTTTAATTGCGTGCGCGTAGCAGATGAGCGCAGGTCATTCTTGAGGTCACTCACAAAATTGTTAAATTCAACCAGTGTTTAAGCATTAAACCTCCGTCGCCGGCCGCCGGAACAGCATTGGGGCACCATAACAGAAATTTGGTTTAGTCCTGGACCCAATTAACGGACATTGTCGATGATGGAACAATGCATGTGTTCTTGCGACCAAGATATGCAAATTCGCCTCGATCTCTTGTAAAGCCCACGCGCGCTCACCTGCACACACGCCTTAGCTTTAATCACCTGTACACTTTCGCTGCTGGTACAAAATCACAGCACAATTACCATAACGCGTAATCTTGCTGTGGCTTAAAAAGGGATTTTTGCAAGTTTAATGGCCAGCATCTGTCTGGTCGTCGGACCGAATTGGACAGTGTCAAATCAGATGCCACATTGTGTCGGAGGTTGCAGTGGTGTTTGTGAGCGCTGTTCCACCACGCCCACAGGACTCTCTACCTTCTGCAAATCAATATTTTCGAAATCAAGTCGTCTCCGGTCTCGACAACAACACTAGTGGAGATGGGAAATTGACCGGTAAAAATGACAATGCAGCCAATATTGTTGCATCATTTTCGAGGCAGCCAATCAACTAAGGCGGTTGCTGTTACTAGCCAATAAAAACAGAGTATTACAAAAACACCTCTCCCACCACTGTGTAATTTGCTTAAAACTAAAATGTTTACTTTTGCCCTGGTTCAAAAGCGATTAAATTTTTTCCGATTATAAAACCATTTTCCGTGAAACTGTTTTTCTTCAGCAGTGGTTCAAAATGCCGCGTGCGCGAAGTGTTCCTTTGAAGAAATGTGAGCGCAAAATCGTCAAATGGCAAGCCAAACTAGTCTCTGGTGTCTTTGGCTAATTTGTCCTGATCAGGGGCATTTTTGAGAACAAAATCCCCGCAAAACCAAAATTTCATTTTGTTGACCATGTTTCCACCAATCAGATGTCGCCGATCGATTTTCTCCTCACTGTTCCCTGAATTGGGTTACGACCTTGAAAATTGTGATTGGTTGCTTTGTAGGACGCGAGAAGGCCCTCAAGAGCACCACCCTGCCAGACGGCGCGACAGTCACGTCTGAGGGCTCGAGTTCTGACACGCGAACCCTCTCACCGGGCACCGAGCACTCCCTGTCGCCGGAGAAGGACCACCCCACTTGTCGCATGGAGGCCAAAATAACCACACTCAAACGAGCCACTGGCAACTCGGGGATGTCAGCTGTAGGTTCTACACAACTTTTCCCATTTTAAAAACCCAAGTTGACCTAGAGAACGACTCCAGTTGCAAACCGTTTGATTCGAGCCAATGGGGTGCGTGCGCGGTTAATACGAAATGGTGTGCAAAGGGGAAGGCGCACTACTTTAAACACTGACTTGCCCTTCTTGGGAAGGTCACAACGATTCGATTACATTTTTAATGTGTCGTCGTTTCTGTGTGCTAACACTCCGACCGCGAGGCAAATCACCAAATCTACTGAAGCAATAGCATGCCGGTGTTATGCAGGCAATGCTTTCTACCGGAAAATTTTCTCCACATGGCTGTCCGGTTTCCAGTGCAGGCCACGGAATCATATTTCTGCCTAAAGCCCCTCGCAGTGCATTTTATTATTATAAACGCAAATATTTGCGCAAAGCAGTGGTTGGTTGGTTTGTTGGTTGGTTGGCTGACCAAAGCAGTTACCTTGCGATCACCTTAACCGTAGCTAACTCGTTCTTTCTACATTTACTGTCACGTGTTTCTGCTTTGGTAGGGAAACCAAGTTTTTGTTTGTGTAAAAAAAGAAAAAAAACATTGTTTGAATTTCAGCCAATCAAAATGGCGTCATTTTGCAGTTCGACCACGAAATTATCTAAAATCGGCCGCTTTCGATTCGCGCGTCACTCCGTTTGTGCACGAATTCTAGTCCATTCATAAATCTTCCATGTCTTTTTTTGTAGTAGTTGTACTTTTCGCTCGTCGCTGACAGAAAACTAGCCATTATTCACAATTCGTGTTGCTTACCGCCGTTATAGATGCATTTTGCTTTTATCTTGGGAATTTGGACATCAAAACCCTGCAAAACTGCTCGTCCAAGCTGCCAAGAACACAACTACATCACGTTTCTGGCGAGTTGTAGCACGTTTCTGTTGAACTGCAGGGACCAGCGCCGGTGACATCAAATTCGTTGTTTACATGCACCAACAAGACCGCGGAATCTTTAAAACAGCCAGTCTGATGGGTTGCCCCTAACTCTCCCGGCGTTCGGCATGGCCATCCAATCCGATTTCATTCACAATCAACCAATGACTAGTTGTCTTTTGAATCGTCCCTACCACAGTGAGAACGGTGTTGGATCTTTTAAGGAAATTTGATTACTTTTCCCCTTCGTAGCTTTGGGGGGTGAGATGCCGGTGGTTAATAGTAAAACAAATTTGTGGGATTCTCGACCAATCACGTGGCGACCTTGAGGGAACGAATGAGGTGAGACTTGGCGTTGTTGATAATGTTTTGTTTTGGAATTTCAGGCAGTTGCACAGTACGTTGAAGAAGACAGAAAACACGGGCGCGATGGGTCACCCGACCTTGACCCAATTTCGGCCTCGAGGTCACCGAATGCTAGTTTTGAACCCCCCTATAGCACTCGCTACACCAATCATCGTTTTGCCTGTAAGTCAACCAATTTCTTCCCATTTTAATTGGTGAAACGCAAGACTAAATAGCTCGAGGTCTTTTTCGGTCAGGCAATTCAAAATATTCCAGCAGAAATCAACCCCAAGACACGACACCTGCACTAGTTCTTGTTTAAAAAATAGGTGCCTAAGCATGTGCACCAATCATGTGATTGCTATTTTTAACGCAAACTTTTTGTTGGCGCAGCTATCAACCCTTGTTATACACCAGAAATTATGATTCGCTCCAAGTACAGCAACCAATCAAACAATCGTTCACACAGAACCGGGTGCTATTTTGAATTCGATGCTGACTGGAAAAGGTTTAACTTTCAAACGAAAGTTGCCTGGTCTTCCACCGTGGTATTTATTAAATCTCGAAACAGTAAAAATGCACCACTTTTTTCCTTGTTGGTGGTGAATTGAAGGGCCGTGGTTGGTGGGAGTGGCAGTACTGTATTCTGATTGGTTATTGCAGGTCGACGAGAAAAAACATTTGATTCTCTACGTTCGGTAGCCAGTAAGTTTTGAATGTGATTCCACAAAGGTATCTCCTCGATGTAGTCTGTACCTCTTGTGTTACTGGTGGCGGTGCGTTGTCCATTTTCTACTATTGTCGGAAATGGCTTTTTTCGTCATATTTCCGGTTTAACTCCATTTTCAAATCGCTGCATAGTCATACCAATCGCCTCATTAAAACACACAGAAATGGTCCAATCAGAGCTGTTAATACGGGGTCACCTCAAGGTCAAGTAAAGTTCCCAGCCATCCAATCAGGCACGGTTTTTTATGACAGCGCCAGTGTCTTTGGTTTTGCCAAGTTCTTTTTTTGTTTGAATTTCTCACAAATTAACGCGGATAATCTGTTAACGACAAAGCATGTGTCGTGTTTGTGCAGCTCCGTCGAGATTTACACTGAGACGGCACCCAGCTCTGAACTCACCCACCGGAACCGATGTCTTCTCGACCTCGCCAATCAGCAGTGAGTTTTGATTGGCACAAACACTCCTGCCCCTCACCCTAACACCCCCCCAGCGGTGACGCTGCGCTTGCTAACCCCATGCATCGCTCGGACCAAGAAATTTGTCTTGCCTTAGTGATAAATGCCTGAATCTCTAACCCAGACTTTGAGTGCTATCCAATCAAATTGGTGCCGCGGGCTGTTTGCACGGTCAAACGCCACCTAGTTTGCGCCTCATTGGCTGGATTTGCTGACGCGAAATCACCGCCACCGCATTGTTATGTCTGGATGGTTGTTGTTCTTGCATGCCACCTGTGTCAACGCATCGCATGATAATTAACTATGCTGCTGCTGACGCTAGAGATTGTTGCTTTAAATCGGCATGGAAACTCAAGTCCGTTGGTTTGGATTCTGGTCGTCAGCGATGTCCACATCGTGATGTTGTGTTGGGGTGCGTGACGAAGTAGTCAGAGAAGGCAGTTGAGGGCAAGGGAGCGACCGCCATCCCTATGTGGACTCTTGTCGTTGTTGGGCTGTTGTAGAAACTAGGAAATGTGCAAACGTGTCAGTGATGTGATTGGTGGCGTGACCAGACGTTGTAGGAGTGGACTGTTGTGGTTGTTGATGGCTTGTGTCGACAAGGTTGCAGACGTGTCGACGATGGCCAGGTAATCAAGACAGGCTACGTCTTCGCTCAATGATGACGCAAAATTTCAAACAGACGAACGTACTTGCTTCTAATCTAACGCCAAATCCACACACACACATGCAAACAACCACCTCCACCAATCGAACACGAGGGTTAAAATGTGCCGATTGCCATGTAGGTCCCAGACCAGGTTATACCTCGGGCATCCTCTCCTCGCGTCCAGTTAGTTTGCCCCGCCAAGTCAACGGTACCGCCACCGCCACCCACTACTCCACTTCCACGAGCCCATGGTCGCCTGATCAAAGAAGATTCCACGTGGAATGTGCCTCTAGAACCCTCCCAGTGAACGGCGTTCCGGCAGGTCTCAACGGATCTCAAAATGGAGACGCCTCGCGTAAGTTGCTGTTTACGATTCAGAGCGAAAACTTGCACTTTTCAGCCATCAAAATTCCCCAATTATTTAGTGCTTTTAAAATACCCCTACTTACTGATTGGTAAATTTCACGATGTCGTCCACCAACCAGAGCGAAGAATAGCAATTTCCAGCCAATGGAATTTTTGCGTTTTTCGTAGTTTGCACTTATTGCCAAGAGCTCTAGAAACTGCCTATTTGCAAGTTGGTCAAGTTGAAGCCTTGTCCGTGTCGTGTTTCCAAAAATAAGCACACTGTAACTTTTTAAAAGTTAGCAAAATGTGTTTGACATTTGGGTGACATGCACGTCTTGGCAACGCAAGAAAACAAACATTGTTTTTAAGTGCAGTTGATCGTGAGTGGAGGGAGAATTAAATAAAATACTATCTAAACGATTCTGCAGACCTCGAAACAGGTGATTATCAGAATGTGCAAGGTCAGAGGAATAAGAGGGATGTGGGACCATTTCTCTGCCAATCGTCATGTGCCGTTCGTCAGTGTGGCTTTTGATTCAAAAGGCAATTTTGACCACAGTAGATATTCAAAATGATCGTAGTCCAGGAGTTTGTAATTTAATGCTCCTTCAATTTCCCACCATCTTCTTTAAGGACTCCTGCACTCAACGACACATCTTTGTGTTCCACCAATAGCAGACGACCTTTTCGATGTATCTGATTGGTTATTTCTCCTTGACCCCCATACTATGTCCTAGGCTGGCTAGTGTTATTGATTTTTTGAAAGGACAAGTTCGCTACGTTTTACAACCAATCACCTCCTTGTTTGTGTCCTCAGTAGCCACATCGGGTCTTTCAATGAACGGCTTTGCGCCGACCACCGATTCACTGAGTCATCGAACGCGTTCGAGCACTTTGACTGGGGGTCTGCCACCGCCGTCGATCTCAGGTCTGCGTCCGGTGGGTCGCAGTTGCCTTGGTTCGCGTGGACGCTCGCGGTGGGACAACGGATGGTCCACAGAGCGTTCGGTTCAATGCGGGAGTCCTTCGCCGCACAGCCTCGCCGCCAACACCACCCTCGACAACCAGTACCTCGACGTGCAGAGCTGGCTTCGACCGTCTGCCGCACAGTCGCGTCCACAGCCCACGGTGGGTGGCACTCTCCTGCACATCACCCAATCAGATGTGGTTTCGTTTCGGTTTTACTCCACTGACCAATCAGAAAACGACTCCTCATGTACCACTTTCGTTAGATTGATTAAAAGGTGGAGCGTTTGCTAGGAAACGGTTAACTTTGGCGTTATCCACGATCGCTGCGACGTGATACCGGATGGGTTGAACATCTAAAACTGTCAGTGTCTTCCGTTTTAGTTGCTGGGTATCTGTGTGAATTGGCTTTTTTTTTAAATTGTATCATTTAGGTACGTAACTAGTGGATTGGTAAATAGGCATCTTCGTTTTTGGAGTGTAAACTAACTCCTTTTCTGTCAACTGTTCTCCGATTGGCTGGTTTGAATGAGGCCTTGGAGACAGGACCATGGTCGTATCAATTAACTGCGATCTATGCTTCCGTAAATACGCCTTAGTTTGCAGAATTGCTGCTACCTACCCCCGAGGTCACTCTGTAAAGTCACATGAACTGGAGAGTGACGTGTTTAGCCATAAAATTTCAGCATAAACCCCTTACCGCGACGATGTTGCGCTAATCAATTTCACGGTAGCACTTTGTGCGTATTTTTTGCGACTCTAGACCTACTCATATGACCAGTTGAGGATTTCGTCAGACGCCAAATTAAGGGGCATTGACAGCCAACACAGAGAGGTGAGTTTTTACTTGAGTACATGTTTTCGCGCGGACTGGACTTGGTGGAACTAATGCCAATTCCATATTCTCCACAGGCGTACCTTTCCTCCGGCGACTTCGAACGACTCTTCAAGATGACCAGGCTGGAGTTCCAGCGTCTGCCGGCGTACAAACAAAACGACCTCAAGCGTCGACTTGACCTTTACTGAGTGTGGTCTAGAGGTCAAGGCATGTGCTTCTCTGCTTTCAACGAGAATTGCTCTGTTCACCCCCACCCCCTGTCCTAGACAAGCCGTAGATCAAGTCGACGCGGATGCCCAAGCGGCTGCATTATGCCATCCCCACAACCGACAATCTCCAAACTCGTCCGTCTTGGCGAGGCACCTCAGAGCAGTGCGTGAAACATCCGCGTTCTTGCTATGTTATCTATGCATTCAACCCCCTCCCCCCTGGTCTACAGTGTCCCCCTCGTTTTCTGTGCTAGCATGCAGTATCTTGCTCACACCCTTCTGTACACACGCGCACACCCACCCACACACACACACACACTCTCAGCAAGCCTTTCACGCAACCTTCCTTTCTGCTGAATGCTCTCGCTCTTTCTTTCTCCGTCTGAACCCCTAATTCTCTATGTTTTTACAATAACTGCTAGAGCATCAGATTAATCCCAACCCAATACATGAGTTCTTGCTATTAACGAGTGTTGTGTGGATACAGTGGGTAAAGACTTCCGTAGTTTGAATGTGCCTACAACTGTAGCCATCACGATCCACCGTAGCAGGTTCAGCACCTGTGGTCAATTTTCGATGCCGGAATCGCAAGAATAGGCGTATTATTGTGGAAATTAGTTTTCTGTGAAAATGCTGACTTCCAGCAAAATACATAAAATTGAATGACCCTTGGGTACTGCAGGCGTGTGTGTGAATGACTCCAAGAAGTCATAAAATCGGTGATGGTTTGATACGGCAGTTGTAGCATTTCGCGAAGATTCTACCGAAGTTGTGAAGTGATAGAAATGGCGTAGTTGTGCAACAAATCACTCTGTGTTTGTCTCAATATTTTCGCGGTTCAAACCACATGGAAAAATCAGAATATTCAAATTTGAAGGGGGCAATCACGCCAGTTGGACAGAATTGGAAGCGTGCGTGTGTGTGTTTAAAATGGACACATTGTTGCCGAGACCACGTCTGACCAGATGATTGGTGCTGGTTCAAAGTTTGCAATGGACATTCATTCAAACCGGATCGGAAGTGAAGTTGTCTGTAGCGAATGGTGACGCGTGTAGGCGTTGTTGGAATTTAAGCATTAACCAAAAACGCTCAAAATATCCAATGTTCATTCGTGACAAAAGAAGCCGAGTAAAATTCGTTTTGCTGGTGAAATAACTCCACAGCTAGGTAAGCACGATCTTTGATCCGGCAAGATAATTCACTGGCTGTGTGTGGTATGTTGGATGGCAATACAATTAACACCACTTTCCCCTTCAAATCGATCCCTCTCATTCCATTGGTCCCCTCAAGGCCAGGTCAACCATCCCAGTAAGGTAAAAGGGAGCAGGAAGTAGATCCTCTGGTGATAGCAGAGGGTCAGTTTGGGCGAACCTGCGGCTTATCTTTCTCACATGTGACTGCGTGTTGATGTTCTCCAAGCTTTCAGATGTCAAGGTCAAATGCAAGCTTCTCAACCAAACCACTTGTTTACATCAGCACAATCGATAGAACAGATTAGAAATTATGGAAATTTGAATTTGGATTGAATTTCATTGTCTCACGGCATTATCCGAAGATGAATCTCTTTACCGACAGCCTGAGGGACTCAAATTAACCGTGTGATCTCGTTTTTTTGTCTGGTGATGATTTTGTGCTGCTCGAATCTCCAATCTAGCAAAATGAAAGTCGCCTTCATCGCTTTAAAGTGCGTACGAAATACCTGATCATGTGTGTAAAATCGATATTTAATGATCCGATTTCCGTAAGCTTGGTCTCATGTGTTTGTTTACACGGTGGCTTAATCGACGAATATGCTGCGGCGATTAGAGGTTTTGAATTTCTAACTGATCGCCGTGTTTGCTCTGAATTTGGTTGTAACACACGTTGACGATTTCACAGAACACAAAATTGACAAACACTAGCTTGTGCTTCATTTTTTTTAAATTATTTTCAAGTAGAATGAGCCCTGAGATGCTAAATCCGCCATTTTATTGGCATCGCTAAATGCAGCTTTTCGTATGCGTGACGTATTCATGAGCTTAAGGTTGTGCATGAACACTAAGTCGGCCGCCAAATCTCTTTTAATGACTTACAGGGTATTCGACGTAATTAAAGGCTTTTGGAAAGGGCGTTTTAGAGTCGACGGTAGGCATTTCTTTGCAGTTGATGCCAAACAAACACCCAGAACTAGGTTACACGTTAGGATTGAGATTTCAAAGAGAAATCGTGGAGATTTGTCAGCACTTTCTTCCGAAGCAAAATGCCTATTTTCCACTTGCATGTCCCTAGGCTACTCTGTGGGGAGATTAAATGTGGGCTATTTGGTGTTATCTAATCAAATTGGTGCCGTAGGCTGTTTGCACGGTCAAACGTCACCTAGTTTGCGCCTCATTGGCTGGATTTGCTGACGCGAAATCACCGCCACCGCATTGTTATGTCTGGATGGTTGTTCTCCTTGCATACCACCTGTTTCCACACATCGCATGATGATTAACTATGCCGCTGCTGCCCCTAGAGATTGTTGCTTTAAATCGACATGGAAACCCAAGTTCGTTGGTTTGGATTCTGGTCGTCAGCGATGTCCACAACATCACCTGTCGATCGCGATGCTGTGTTGGGTTGCGTGACGAAGTAGTCAGGGAAGGAAGTTAGTTGAGGGCAAGAGAGCGACAGCAATCCCTATGTGGAATGTTGTGGTTGTTGCCGATAGAGACAAGCGTTGATGGTTGTTGTATGAACTAGGAAATGTGCAAACGTCTAAGTGACGCGATTGCCAACGTGGCGAGACGTTGTATGAGTTACAGGCAATCGATGTCCGAATGAACAATGAATGCTGTTTAATCATTCGCTAAAGCCATTTCGCTGCGATGTAATTGACTAAAGCGCAAAAACCCTTGTCTGCAAAAACATATTTCACTTGATTTTGTGAAATTTCCGCTCACCATTTTCGTGTCACTGCCAAAACTTCAATTATCTAAGTGTCTTTCGTGACAAATTAAAATGCCATGAAAGATGAAATTTGAAAAGTTAATCTCATGGCATTTTCTGTTGTGGCAAACATTCTTGGAAGCTGTAAATATGCGCTTTTCCGAATTCCTTGCTGTCAGATTCACACAAAATAGCCGTTTTGTGGTACGAATGCGTATTTAGACGTGGGAAGGAGGAGGAGGAGGAGGGGGGATACAGTTCTAGTCAAGTCAGCTTAGTCATTGCATACATCAAACCTACACGTTCTTTGTTGTTTCATGACATTTGTGAACCGCTGATCATGTCACGTTTAATTCAAATCGCACGTTTCGACACTTGTTTGCATTTATCTGTGGTGGAAGTCACGACTTCCAGCTAATCCGATGGAATTATTGGTTTGTAGGATTGTCAAGTCCATTGCATTCTTGTTTGGATGTGTTATCTGCAGTTCAAAATACAATGCCAAAATTAAGCTGATTAGGGTTTACAAAAAGCGGAAGAAATACGGGAATGCTAAAATCGCCACTTCCTAGCAGTTCCGAAATTGCAGCCTTGAGTACATAAATTTGAGTGCCAGTCAGCTCTAACGCGTCTTTAGTTTGAAATCATTTCATATTAATTGGAGACGGACTTATCATTTCAACAATAATCCCATTCACTGTGGACGTCCGTAGTCAAGTCCACACAAATCCCCACCACTAGTTCGCATCTCCATTTAGTCGAAGACGCTGTCGAAGTTTTGCGGAATAACTCCTCTCTTTCGGAAGCGAATTGCTATATCATCATTTTTTCTTTTTGGAAGAATCGAAATTCCATCACCAAGTCACACATTTCTTTTAAATTTGCCCAATAAACTACAAAGGATTTCAACTAACCGTCAATCGCAGAAATCGATCGCATATACCACCTCCAATTCGGCTTAAATGCACCAATGAAATTTCCAATTCTGTCACTTAAAATAGAAGCTGATTCCAAGCAGATCTGTTAAATTTCGTAAATTCCATTATCCACACTGCAGCATTTGTTCAAAGCAAATGAGACAAATGAGGGGATGTAGACGTTTATCATCACCTGTAAGTTGAAGAAACTGCGTCGAAACCTACGGGAGCACAGTCATGTCCAGGTTGCAGCAAGTCCCATGTTCGTGGACAGATGGATCGTGAGAATAAGGTGTGGAGTCCAGATCAACCCATTATGCGTTTCCACATGACTACCAGCAATTCGGATCATCACAGCGTTTGATAATAATTTAAGTTGAAAAAGCTTTCATTTTCGCAGAGGCTAATCCCATATCAGTGATAAATTAAATCTACCAACAATGATCTAAAATACCAACTTTTAAACAAGTCTTTTCAAAACACCACTAATTTCCGGCGTCCCTCACTACCGCGAAACGGCAAGCAAGGGCTTCGAATTAAACCAAAACCTTCTTCAATCTACTTGAGACTCGTCAAATGCATCTTCTTTCTATTTAGGCTGCTCAAAAGCTCCTGCTGTTGCATTGACTCGACTTCCACAAAATTGGTTATGTCGTCGAGGGAAGATATTTTTTCGTCAAATCGACGAAAATGGTGACTTATTCAACCTCGGATGCAGCCTCACATTTTAGTCGTAAAACGCG